ACCAAACCAAACCAAACCAAACCAAACCAAACCAAACCAAACCAAACATACTTAACACTAAACAACTCGGTTTTAGCATTCCTCCAATCTTGTTTGGGAATGAGAAGGCCAGACAATGGGTAGAAGTTGGTTTTTCAGTAAAAACATTAAATAATCCCTAGATCCTTACAAGGCAACTCCTCCTGAGCCCAGCATTAACAAAAGCACTCAACCTAACAAGGCTGCTTCAACCAGCTACATTCAATACCTTACGTTAAAATCCTGAAAGCACAATATGAAAATCGATACATATTAATCTCAGCAGACCGTTATGACCCAGTGGAGATGAGAACTTCCAACAGTAAACACGTCAGTCAACAGTGTGACCAGAAATGTAAGCAAGTGTCACTGCTTCTCGGGCTGCCCTGAGCTCACCAGCTCCAACTGCAGCTCTAGAGCAACTACATCTTCCTCCCACTAAGTGCCCCAGATGTTAATGCCATGCAGATGGCCGAGCTTCTCAGAGGGGCTTCTAAAGATGGCAGAGGAAATGTGACATGTCTCATCTGTCCTATGCACATACGATAATATTTTCAAAGTGTTTTACTGCACGTGTACATGGTGAAGCTTTATTTCTTTACATTAATGGCTCACAAAGCCTTACTTGGGGACTTTATAAAACACACGTGCATTCAGCAGGACTAAGGTTGGGGCCCGAGACCCTGCGGTTTTCATAAGCTCCTAGACACATCAATAATAGTGATAGTCCCATACTAGTGACCAGGGTCCACATTCCTGGGTAGCAAAATATTACACCCAAGAAAAGAAGGTGTTGCTGGGCAGTGGTGGTGCATGCTTTTAATCCTACAAATGACAAAAAGTTGATATTTAGGTAAACCTTCAGCTTACTTTTTTCGGTCATAGCCAAAGATTTCCCGAATGTGCTTGGATATTTCTTCCTGAGGTTCTCCTTCATCTTCGATGAAATCATCCATTTCTGAGTCATATTCATCATCATCATCATCTTCATACTCTCGAGGTCTTTTGTAGCCAGTCGGGAAGGGGAGCCTTTGAGGACCTAAGCACAAAGCCATGACTTATAAGAACATTGTATGGCAAAGTATTTCTTGCAGTGGACTATATCACCTGGAGTTCAGAGAAACAGTAAGATGGCACCCTTGGCAGGGTAGTGGTGGCCAATACCTTTAACCCCAACACTCAGGAGGCAGTGATGAGCAGATCTCTGTGAGTTTAAGGCCAGCCTGGTTTACAGAGCGAGTTCCAGGACAGTCAGGGCTACACAGAGAAACCCTGTCATGGAAAACCAAAATAGAGATGCGGCTGAAAGCAGAGCATCCAGTTGGCACTCAGCACAGGTTGCACATCCCTGTTGGATGAAGTATCTGGAGGGACTGAGCCTTGTTGCTTGTCACGTTTTCTAACTTAGTTATACATACTTCTGGTACTTCAAAGATCAGTAATATTTCTGGAACTGGGTTGTTACAAACTGCCACAGAATCAGTTTTTAATTTTACCAAATAAAGATACTGAAAGTAGTTCCCTATTTTTCCTGTATTTCTCTTAAAAATTCAAAGTCCTGCACATGCCTTAGCTACAGCTTTCTGGGCTTGGAGCCTGAGCCAGCAGTTTAATTAAAGAAGCTCTAGGCAACAGAGCAAGATCATACCTGAGAAAAGAAAAAGTCCAAAGTATAAAACATTTTCAGAATTATAATTGTTCAAAGAGAGTTAAAAGTATGACTGCAAGAAAAACTCATTTTATTATTGTATTTTTATCTAATGACTGAAAGTAAAAAAATGACCTGGGGATGTAGCTCAGCAGAGGGCTGCCAGGATATATGAAGCCCTGGGCTTGTGTCCTAGCTCTACAGAAGACCAGTCTGGTGGTATACACTTGTAATCCCAGCACTCAGGAGGTAGAGACAGGGTATCAGACATCAAAGGTCACCCTCAGCTATACAATAAGTTCCAAGCCAACATGGGCTACTTTCTTTAAAAAAAAAAAAAAAAAGCAAGCTAAAACATTAATTTCTACAGTCCCTCAACAAAAACAACAAAGAAAAAAAACCCCTAAAGAACAACTTTGCAGAAGACACTTAACAGAGAGTGTCTGAGAACAACCTTCTAGTCTCTGGAATCTAAAGCAAGGGATTTGGGCACTGGTTTCTTTTTATCCTCTCTATGGATCCCAACAAAGACTTTAACAAGTACCTATGCAGCATGCGGTATCTACAGGAAGCAGCTGGCAGGCCCATCAGTGACTCCAGACTTGGAGATGGCAGATTCCTAAAGCACCAGAGGCAAGGCTCTTCACCGTGCCTACTACAGGACAGAACTCAGGACAGCCTAAAATAGCTGCTGGGGCACAACAGGTGCCAACGACCATCTGCTGCTGAGCAGAGCACCAAGGCTCACGCTCACAATTATTCTCTCATCTTTAAGCCTCATGGTCTTCAAGTAAAACACTATCCTATCCACCAAACCATCAGCCATTTCTCTCAGAAACCAGAGCCAAATTTGCTACATGTGAGAGAACAAGGTGGGGGTGTAAACAACGGATCCCAGACAAGCCTCTTTTCTACTATCAACAGTCAGTACATTACAGGGCACGAGGACGTGGTTGCAGGGTTCCTGGTCATATAAAGTTAGGTACTTTCCCAATGGCATGGTGATATTTTACCTGGGGCAGATCTGTAGCCAGACATGGGAGGCTTCATTCCATTTATCTGTCCATTACTTGACCGACTAATAATATTCTTTGAAGAAATTGTTTCTGAGACAACAGTGCACTTGGGTTTTGTGGGGAGGCCTGGGCTACTAACTGTTCGTCCAGGTCCTAAGCTGCTCACTGGTCTTCCAGGGCCTGAACTGACAGTCCGTCCAGCTGGAACAGAACCACTTAGAGATCTCCCAGGGCCACTGACTGACCGCCCAGGGGGACCTAGGCTGCTCACTGGTCGTCTAATGTCATGTGGACTGTTTACAGGCCGCCTAGGACCTCCAGAACTGCTCAAAGGTCTTCCAGAAGCACCAGGGCCACTGATGGGTCGCCCAGAGCCAGTAGAGCTGCTGGCAGGTCGTCCAGGACCATTTGTGCCATTGACTGTCCGTCCAGAGGGATGCGGACTGCTGGCCAGCTTTCTGATCCCACTGACGGATTGCTCGGGTCCTGAGCTGGAGCTGCCATTCTGGCGCCTGGGCATAGCACCAGAACTGACTGTGGGCCGAGCTGTTCCTGGGCTAGGTCGTCCAGAAGCTGAGTCGGTGTTGCTGCCTGTCTGTCTGAGACCTGGACTCTTAGTTTTGTTGTGTGAGAAGACTGTGGGCCCTGGTTTGGAATGGCTAGGATGAGAAGGAAGAGGTTTTTTGGCTTTGTGCTCAGAAGCAGGTTTCTGAGTCCCACTAGCAGCAGTCTTTTGGACACTTGGGGAACAGGTGCTGGGGTGGGGCTTTCCAGCCCCATTGAAGACAGGTCTATTGTGTGAGGCCTGGGAGCTACTGCCAGATCCTGCCTTGGTTCTCTCTCCTGGCATGGATTTGGATGAAGACAAAGCTACTTGCTTTTCACTGGCTGTGCTGGGTCTGGATTTCTTCTCAGCATGAGGGGACAGCAATCCTTTGGAAGAAGGCTGCCTGTCCCCAGAACCCTTGCTGGGTTTTGTGCCCATACCGTCTCTATGAGAGGGTGTCTTTTTGGACACGGGCGGAGGTAGTTTGGCGTCAATCTCAGGTTTCTTTTTCTTATGCTTTCGTTCAAGAAACTCTCGCTCCCTAAGTTCCTCTGCAGTCATGGGCCGCTCTTCGGCTTTCTTCGTTACCTTGATCTCCACTGGTTCGAACTGCTTCTTCTCAGCTAACCTCAATAAGTCAGTGAAGTTCATGGGTGGAGGGGCACTTTTAAGGGGGGCCTTTGGTTTGCTTTCAGCTTTGAGAGGCTCTTGCTCCTCCTCGAATTCCTGCTCCAACTCATCCTGACTGTAGTCTAGGAACTCTTCCTCCTCCACCTCATACTCCAGGTCCGTTCCCGGGTTCGGGCGGCTCTCTGCTATCTGCTTCTTCTTTGTCTTTTCCTCCACAGGAATCCCATCGTAGCCATGAAAATTGTCCTTTGTCCTCTTGGCCATAGCTCTGGCTTTCTTGTCATGTTTGAGCTCAATTCGTTTTCTCACTAGTTCTTCTTTCCTCCTTTTCTCTTCTAAGGCTGAAAGGAATAAAACAAGAACATACTGTTGCAAAGTCTCAGGACAGCTCATGTGACACCCGTTGACAGTCAAAACACAGACAACGTTGAGATATCTAGGAGTCAAATGAGGAAGTCATCTAACAAAACTGAGAAATTTTTACACAAGTGGGTCATATATGAGCTTCTCTTTATGTGTAAGCAAGTAAGGGACTTGGTTTTAATTTATATGTAAAAAAGTCTCATAAATACACCAAGTTAATAGAACACCAGCACCCACTGAAGTTAAGAATGAACCAATGAATACCTAAACCAATGTCAGGACCAAGGTAAAGAATGAAGACTTGTTATGGAGAGTTAGTTGGTCACTACACCAGGCCTTTTCACCTCTCCCCTTAAGACATAAGGCCTTGCTATGTTGTCTGGGCTGCTTTCAAGCTCATGGGCTCAAGGAACCATCAGCATGCCTCAGCCCAGTGAATACTTGAGGCAACAGATGAATATCACTATGCCTGGCTCCATGAAGCCTCGAGGGTGGGTGGGACAGGGGTAGATAAAACAATACAAATAGTTAACCTATGAATAGGCACTTATGTATATGTCCAGAAAGGTAACTTAGAGACACACATACATCATCCCCAAATTTATTAGTCTGTTTCAACATTTTTACAAACACACACTGTTGAGTTGAGGATGGCTTTGGTGGCAGACACTGAGACTGAGAAGCGACACAACACAAGCACATACCTTTTCGTCTAAGCTCCTCTTCCTTCCTCCGGAGGAAAGCCTGCACAGCTGCCGACTGAACACCTTTCACTTTTGGGTCTTTCTTGGGAGGCCCCACTGCCAAACTGTACCTTTTCTAAAAACAAAAGCAGTATAGGAGCTATAAGCAATTCAACTTTAAGGATATACGAAGAGTCCAAGAATAAAAAAATAAAAATGTAGATTCCAGAAATAAGAATGTAAAAATAAATATAAAATTATAAGTCTAGGAGAATAAGAACAGACTGTCAGTAGTTCTCAGCAGGTCAAGGATCAATGGTTCACAGTGAGCTATTTTCTCAGAGGTTTAAGAAGCCTCCATCACTTTAGGTCATTTCATTTTAAAACTTGGCTGTTCTACTTACAAGGCCTGAGCTTCTCTCTGCAAACTGAGAGCAGTGTCTTGGCCATCCTTGATGAACGATAGATATGAACTGAGTCAACCTTTAGGAGACAGAGATGCGTGACTTCTGGGTTAGGTACTGTCTCTGTTATGGGAAACTGGCACTGTTAAAGGGGAGGCATGGGGCTCCAGTATACACTGCCTGGAGATACCAGGAGAAACAGTGACCAAGGTGCAAACACCTGGTTTGACTAATGAGCTCTGATAATGGAGGATGTAAAGTATGGCAGTCTGTGTCTGAGTTTTACCTAGAGACAGTATGAAAAGCTTTCTGCTATCTTCTAAGATCCCAGCCTAAGAACCAATTAATTCTAATTTATTAACCTTCTGCTATTACTAGCAGTCCCTTTTCTGAATAATTGCTAAAGATACCTATTTTCTTGCAATTAGTGACTTCCACTGTAATCTACTCTAAAACATATTTCATGATAGCTGCCTAGTTACCCATTACCGTTAGAACTCACTCCCCTCCTTAGGGTCTACATTGACTGACCCACGGGTTGGGGTAAAAATTCCTTTGTTCAGACCTAATGCTTGGTGCCCTAACTATAAAAGGTGGGTTCAGAAACCGGCCTTTTGCCACAGCCTAACAAACACCATCTCTGGCTGTGGTCTCAGCTAGCGGATAAGCTTCTGTGCCCCGCAGTGTTTTTTTTATTTATTTTTTTTTATTTTTAAGTTTGCTTCTGGTTTTTCTGGAATCTAGTTTCTCAAATAAAGTTTGCTTCTGGTTCATTAGACTTGGTGGTGTTCCCATCTTTGTGCGACCCCCCTGGACCCAACAACATACAGTCTATGTGGCTCAGTGCTTGTCTGCCAGTGCTTGTGCGCCAGCTCTGAGTTCAATTCTCAGTATTGCAGAAAATGAGGGAGGAAAGGGTAAGAAAAACAAGAAATCTAAACAAAGAGCCCAGTTCTCTGTAATCTTTAACTGTAGTATTTAAATTTGTGAAATATTAATTTGCTACACAAGTTCCATTAGACTGGTTTCCGTATTACCAAGATCACCAATCACAGGCACAGATGGTGTTTTCCTGGACTTTGGTTTTTAAGTAACTGCATAAAGAAAAATGAATGATTGAGCCCTGAAAGAAAAAATACTTCAATTTCTTAAGTATCTACTAAGGAAGCCCGGTAAGCAGCTAATCCTCCATGTCTGGGACCATAGGACATAAATCTATGGGCCAGCTATTTTTTTTATTTAAATTACAGAACTGAAGAAGACACAGTCTCACTCATACAGGTGCTCTACTACTAGACTTCATTCCATCCCTGAAAACAAGAGTCTTAAAGTGTTCCCCCTCCTCTGTTAAATGAGGCAGACATCCTTTTTATGTACTAAATCTTGTCTGTGATGATAGTAAAAGAAAGTCCTCTGTGTGGGAAAAGCCTGCAGTCTGTAAACTCCAACATCTCCCCATCCAGCTTATGAGAGTTTGTTAACCCCATGCTCTCCCATCCTGTGTATGCCACCCTTAGAGGGAAGCCGAAGAATCTGCTTACTATCGGGCTGCCAGATACAATATATCTTTTTCCTTTTCTTTCCTCTATTGATACAATGTATCTTCCCCTCCTTTTCACACCCTTTTGATACAATGTATCTTGATACAATGTATCTTAAAATAAGCTCAAGTTGCAACTAAATCAGGCAACTAAAAAAGCAGCTGGCCAAGACGGCAGGCCTCATCCAACCTGAAAATCCTGCATGATGGCAGTGTTGACAACTGACTCATTCCTGACGGAGAAATCCCAACAGTTCCAGTTATTTTCTAGTCACCTAAGCTAGGACACAATCAGATCCCCTAGTTAGTCCACATCTCCGCAAACTGAATTGAAAGCTCTTTCCCTGCAGGATACTAAGAATATGAACAACCCCTGATTCAAGTGTCACACAGCTCATAGGCAGCACCACAACTGAAATGATTTTTGTTATATTCAGAGTTTCACAGCAATCATCACTGGTTTTCAGGATATCGCAACCACCTAAAAAAGAAATCACGTAAGTGATGGGTCTGGCAACCATTAGTGAACTTCCTATCTCCATCTCCTTCAATAGCTGAGCAATATTGCAGGTCATAGATCCATATCCTATTATTACTTATCTGTTCACCAGTTGGCCATCTGGATGATTTCCATTTGTTTTTGCCTTCATAAAAAATGCTTCTGGGACATTTGTATGCAGTTTTAGGCAGATGTACGTTTAAACTTCTCTTGGGTATTTTTTTTTTTGGAGACAGGGTTTATCTGTGTAGCCCTGGCTGTCCTGGAACTCATTCTGTAGACCAGCCTGGCCTCGAACTCACAGAGATCCATCTGCCTCTGCCTCCCACGTGCTGAGATTAAAGGTGTACACCACCACATGGCTATGATCATATATTTTAACACTAAACTAAGTAGACCTATCCAAATTAAGGGATGCAAGCAGATCAAAGATATGTTTTGTTTTGATAGACAATTTCTCCCCACCTCACAGTAAAGAATGAAAACAAAACAAAAAAGCCTGAGGCTGGAGCACACTGTGTTCTCTTTAAGACAGAAGAGTCATTTGGCCCGTTCCCTGATCAGATGGTCGTAGATGGCTGCAGCAACAGCACACCAAGATGTACGCATTAATTCTGACTCTTGATTCCAAGGCACCAAACCGCTTCATTGTCTGGGTTTCATGAGAAGCAGCAAGACACGTTTCTTTTATCCTAAACATATCCATTTTACCATCCTGCAATGCCAACTTCATCACTCTGTAGGACCCCATGAATGATCCACATTGGTGGCATTACTGTCATTTAGTATAGCAACAGAGACTTTGTCAAGATTTTGTAATTCTAAAGCCCACAAACAGGCTAAGAAAACATCAAGCCATTTAAAAACATACTCCTCCCATTGAAACCATCCTGTGGAGATCAGATTAAGAAGCAGCATGCAGTCTGGAAGTCTTGCTCAGCAAGTGCACAGTCAGGACCAGCAGGTTACTCCCCCTCATTCCCCAAACTACTGCTTAGGAGAAACAAGACTGTTGTAATAGAAAATAGAAATTTTCTGATGATTTTACAACACTTATTATTGGTTAGAGTAGTCAAACAATATATTCTTTTTTTAAAAAAATAATTTATTTTAAGTACATTGGTATTTTGCCTGCATGTATCTCTGTGTGATACACACATATCATATCTTGGAGTTATAGACAACTGTTAGCTGCCATGTGGGTGCTGGGAATTGAACCCAGGTCCTCCGGAAGGGTAGGCGGTACTCTTAACAACTGAGCCATCTCTCCAGCCCCCAAACAATATATTCTTAACTTTAATCAACACCACAAAATTTTATACACCTTTTCAAGACATTAGTCAAGAATGAATGCAGGAAACCGGCTCTCTGCATTAAGCTAGCTCAGCAGGATGGTGAAAAGGGAATAAGACATCCAGAGCATCTATTCAGGTTGGCTATGTAAAACGTCAAAATCAACCATCACAAGGTTTATAAAACACTCGGTAGGAAACTTGCCGGCATGCTGGAGGCCCTGGTTCAACCCTTGGTGCATTATTCAAATCTACCATAAACAGCACAGCAAATGAGTTCTTTGTTAGAAACGGCCTTCAAAAAGGAGAGTTGTTCTCTTGGTGCTCAGGCACAGGCTTTGTAGCTGAATGCATGTTGAATGCAGGTCTTCCGACTCAGGACCAAACATGTTTTCACACTTCACTTTCTATTTAACTCCAACACTGTTTTTCTCAGGCCCGCAGCTCAATCTTAAACAGAATTCCCTAATTTCCATGCATATCTACCCCAGACAGGTAGGTCTACAACTGATCTTCCCTATAGTCTTTTCTTTTCCCATCCTTTAGGGGAGTGATTACTCTTTTAGAACAGACTTCCATTATCACTCGTCAGCCAGTTTTCCATTCATGTACTAACCAGTACCAGTCTTGCTTAGCTTTAGAGATCAGATAAGATCAGGTGGGCCCATTCAAGTGGTCTGTCCACCAGTTACTAAATGCTATTGGTTTGACCTTTATATTATCTTTCCATCTTTCTACTGAGAACGTCATAAATATCCAACAGTATTATCGCTTAAAGCTGTATTAAAGAAGAGCTGAGGAAGGAACTTGAGTTCTATCTATGACAGAAGATGACAAACTCAATACATTCTCTTCAATCAACAGAGTCTGGGTTAAGAGCAGGAACTACGAAGCACAGTGCGGGATTAGATCCTCCTCCTCCAGTATAATCAATCCTAAATCTCACTGCGTGGCTTTGGGCAATTTCTTCACCTCACTAGGCCTGTTTGTCATCTGTAAAATCTCTTTTATATGCTCATTACGGTGACTGAATTAATTAACATATGAAGTGCTTAGAACAATATCTGGCAAAGGCTCAGCACAATGAATATTAATTGCTATCACCATTATTTAGAAAGAGATTCTCTAAGGTGTTATGGAGAAGAGACAACAGAACCCCTGCGGGGAAGCATGAACCCTAGTTTCTAAAGACAGCTTCTGTCCTTAAAGCACTGGTTCAGAAGTACTGCTCTACCCTAGAGAGCAGCTGTCTGAGACACCAGGGATGTCTTGTCAGCTCTACCAGAAGGCCAAGATCCAGTTTCTGTAGAGCAATCACTACTGCAGCAAAAACTTTTGCTAACCCACACCGTTCTTCACAAGGAACCATCCCAGCACTTGGGAGGCAGAAGTTGGCAGATC